GCTCTGCTTATTGGAGAGCCAACAATAGATGCCAGTCTTTATGCATGACCATCAAAATAATGATTCTTTTTGTAATTATTGGGATCTATTTAGTCCAAAGATACAAAGGAGGCCTCCTGAAGGAAAGGATTTAGGGCACGGGACCAATGGCTAGGCAGAAGTTAACTAGAAAAGAAAAGGATAAGGGAAGAACATCATAAGGAAAAGGAACCACATGTGCACAGTTCTTAGGACAAGAGGGGATATGTTGGAAGAGCTAGAACAATAGCCAACGGGGCTAGAATGCAGAGAGGAGGAGTGTATATAAACAAAGACTAGAAAAGAAGACAGGCCTAGAACATGCAGAACTTTATTCCAAGTGCAAAGAGAGGCCACTGCAGGACTCCAGGCAGGGGAATACATGATCAGATTTAGATAGTGTAAATCTCATCCTGGCTGCAGGATAGGAAGGGGATTATCTCATTAGAGTAACTTCTTTGGATTAGAGTAACTTCTTTGGATGAGAAGTCTACTGGATTTGCACTTTTAAACCCAATTCTCTCCCTAATGTTAGTCTGGCCTTGGGCAAAGAGAAGCATAGAGCTGCAGGCCAGCCTGAGCTGGCTATTCTGGGCTTCTTGATTGTGACAGAGAACCTTTGAAATATGCCTAAATATTTAAGTTATAAGGAGAAAGTAACAGACTGTTAAACTAAACGTGTACTAGCATTCTGCTTTGACAAATATACATTCGTAATGATTAAAAATCAGAAAAATTTCAAAGATAGTTGAATTTAATTATTATTGCCCATGCCTAGGTGTTCTATATTGGGCCAGTAATGTTTGAAAGAATAATAAAGACATACATAATTCACAATTTATTACATATGTACTCTATAAACTTTATTTTTCTTGTCTTCTATTCAGCAACATCATGAGTGGTGTTCTTACAGTCCATATTTCCACATAACTTTTATTCTGCTGGAATAATGTTCTAAAGGACTAAAAAATGCATTTGTATTCAAAGTATTGAAAATTTGAATATATTTAGTACAAATGTAAATTAAAGTAAATGTAAACAATTAAAAACATTTTGTATATGTTTTCAAAAGAAGTTATTTCTTTTCTAAAATATTCAGACTTAAGTATTGAAGCCAGTGCAACTAGTAAAAAAAAAAAGTCATCCAAATTAGAAAGGAAGAAGTAAAATTATCTGTTTAGAGATGACATGATCTTATATGTCGAAAACCCTAAAGATTTCACAAATAAACTAATAAAGGAATTCAACAAAGTTGCAGGATATAAAATCAACACATAAAAGTCAGCACATTTCTGTACGCTAACAATGAACAATTTGAAAAGGAAACTAAGAAAACAACTCCATTTACAATAGCATCAAAAAGAGTAAAATACTTAGGAATAAACTTAACCAACGAGGCAAAAGACTTGTATACTGAAAACTAAAAACTGTTGCTGAAAGAAATTGAAGACATAAATAAATATAACGCTATCTGTTATGGGCTGAATGTTTGTGTTCTCCTCAATTCATAGGTCAAAGCCCTAATCTCCAAGGTGATGGTATTTGGAGGTAGGGACTTTGGGAAATACATAGGGTTAGGTTAGGTCATTCGGGTGAGGGCCTCAAAATGAGATTAGTGCTCTTATAAAAAGAGGAAGAGACACAATATCTCTTCATGAACACACACTAAGGAAAGACCACGTGAGCACAAATCCCAAAGGCATCTGTATACAAGGCAGGAAGAGGGCCCTCACCAAGAACCGAATCTGCATCTGCTGTCACCTTGATCTTGGGCTTCCCAGCACCCAGAACTGTGAGAAATAAATGCCTGTTTAAGCTATCTAGTCTGTTATTTTGTTATAGCAGCCTGAGCTAAGGCAACATCCCTTATTTGTAGACTGGAAGACTTAATATTGTTAAAATGTCAACACTATGGAAAGTAACCTACAGAGCCAATACAATCTCTCTCAAAATTCTAATAGTTTTTTTCACATAAATAGAAAAACCCACCCTAAAATTCATATGACATCTCAAGGGATCCAAAATAGTCAAAACAATGTTGAAAAGAACAAAGTTAAAGATCTTATACTTACGGATTTCAAAACTTATTATAGTACCATAAATCAAAACAGTGTGGTACTATAAAGATAGATATACAGGTTAATGGAATAGAGAACCTAGAACAAACCTCCATTATATATGTTCAAATTATTTTTGACAAGGATGCCAAGACGATGCAATGGGAGGAAGATTGTCGATTCAACAAATGTAGCTAGAAAAACTGGATATCCACATTCAAAAGAATGAAGTTGGGGCCTTACCTTATACTATTATATAAAAATTAATGATATAAAAGACCTACACATAAGAGCTAAACTCTTTAAAGAAAACATACGGGAAAAGCTTAATGATTGGAGGAACAGGTAACAAAAGAAAACATAAACTGGATTACATCAAAATATAAAAATTCTCTGCATTAAAAGACATAATCAATAAAGTGAAAAGGTAACTCATGGCATGGGAGAAAATATTTATAAATCATATCTCTGATATGGGTCTGATAGTCAGAATATATCAAAAAGAACTCTTACAACTAAACAGAAAAATCAAACAATCCAATTAAAAAATGGGCAAAAAGCTTGAATAGATATTTCTCCAAGGAAGATATACAAATGACAAATAAGCACGTGAAAGATGCCTAGCATCACTAATAATTAAGGAAATGCAAATTTAAATCACAATAAGATGGCTACTGAAAAAACAAAAAACAAACAAACCCAGAAAATAACAAGTGTTGGTGAGGATGTGGAAAATCAAAAACCTTGTGCCCTGTTGGTGGAAATGTAAAATGGTGCAGCCACTGTGGAATACAGTATAGCAATTTCTCAAGAAAATTTAAAATAGAATTACCATATGATCCAGCAATTTCACTTCTGGGTATTAGCAGTGTTTGGAAGAGATATTTACATTTCCGTGTTCATAGCAGCATTATTCACAATAGCCAAGAGGTGAAAATAACCCAAGTGTCCATCAATATAATATAGATGGATGAACGGATAAATGAAATGTGGTAAAAACGTACAATGAAATATTATTGAGTCTTAAAAGGAAGGAAATTTTGACATATCCTACAACATAGATAAACCTTAAAGACATTATATTAAGTGAAACGCCAGTCACAGGACAAATTACCATATGATTTCACTCTATATAAAGTGCCTAGAGTAGTCAGGTTCACAGAGACAGAAAGTAGAAGGGTGGTTGCCAGGGGCTGGGGGCAGAGGGTAATGTGGTGTTATTGCTTAATTAGGGTTTATTAATTAATTAGAGTTTTAGTTTGCAAGATGAAAAGAGTCCTGGAGATGGATAGTGGTGATGGTTGCACAAAAATGTGGATGTACTTAATGTCACTGAACTGTTGTACACTTAAAAATGGTTAAGATGGTAAATTTTATGTTATGTGCATTTTACCACAATTAAACATAATTAACAATTAACTGATGATTTACAGAGAAATATAAATTAGAATTAATGGATATAAAATTTTTAAATAAAATATTTAAACAAAGTGAACATTTTGTGTTTATATTTTAAAATATTTGTTAAATATTAATTTTACAAAGATAAAACTATTTGCAATTCAAGCATGAAAGGTCCATCTAGTTGCCAATTTAAGCTATGGATATTAAATTTCAAAACTTCTATGCCTAGACCAACAGATACTCAAATCTATGAGGAATACAAATTGTTTAATATCACAAATATTAAATAATGCAATATGCCACCATGTATGCGTACAGCTGTTGTGAATACCATGCCTATTCACGAGTATCTTCAGAACCACAAATTGGAACTCAATGAGAATTAAGAAAATTCTGAGAAACAATACTTCATTATGCAAGAATCTATTGCATTCATGCTCTCTGAAAGATTTGATGAGTTAATGAATTTCTCTTTTCCTCGAGTACTTTTACTCAGATCTTTGTGCTCCAAGGCAGCGTCTATATTCATAACACTCATACAGTCTTCTCTCAAAGGCAGGGCCTGAGGAGTGTTTCTTTGGAGCCTAAATGACATTTGCCTGATTGTGCAGGTCCTGAGTACCAGATTCCTGGTGACAGAAGCACCCATATGTCCCTTAATACATTTATTTTTGGAGTGTGTGCTATGTGGGAACCTCTAAGAGCCCAAAGCCCCTCTTCCTTGGGCCAAAGTCTGGCACTGTTCAAACTCCACTTTCTTTTCCTTGAAATAAAAATGCACCACTTAGACTGGATCTATGCACATGGTGAAGTCTAGTCAGAGACTATGTTTGTCTCAGGGGGACATTTGGGTTTGAATTTTCTAGATTCCAGCAACATTTTATCAGCTCTGCAACCTTGGAAAAGTTACTTATGAGCTGCATATCCAGGTATTCTCATCTCTAAAATGGGGATTAAAATAGGACCTACCTCATTGCATTGGGTGAGGATTAAATGAGAAAATGCATAGTATAAAGTTCTTAGCAGCATAATTGGCCCAGAATTGGTATTAGTGATAATGGTGATGATGGTTTAGATGGCCACACAGAGCTCAGGATAAGTCACATTCCATTACAATCTCTGGATTGACTCGTTGGTACTTATAATTGATAACTAATTGTACTAGGAAGTGACTTTATCATCAAGATCTAAGGCACAGGTAAATGTTTTTCAAGCCCGTATATAGTTGTGTGGCTGCTTGAGGAATCTAGAATGGCCACCAATGATATTAAGGACTTGAGTCCTCTTAGAATATGCTGTAAATATGTGAGCGCTTATTTATCAAGTTTTAGGGCCACAGGGAGGTCCTAATGTCCATGGAAAATGTCTTTGCCTGAAGTTGAATAACTGATTTATTTGAAGACTTGATCAGAGGACAGCTGAGTTCACCTGCATCATGTTGTGTACGAAGCTCCATTAAACATTGCCTTATACCATTTCTTTGCTGAATTGTGACTCATCTAAGAGAGAGAAAAGAAAAGAAAACTTCAAAGGTAATTTCATTCTGCTCCAAACACAGTCTTGGGTTTTCTGGTTTGACAGAGAATTGAGAAGTAAGCATGCATCATTAATTTCTATGCAAAAAACATTCTTCACTTCAAATGGCAATTAGTGATAACATTTCTATCTCATGTTATGATGAGATTTTTATGCTAATCATCAAATAGCAGTAAATTAATCATTTGGGCACAGTTAGAGAGGATGTATATTTCATGAGACAGATATAGATATCAAGATCTGTTTGATATTTACTCAAGGTAAATAAATGGGAAGCATCTCAAATTATCATGAAGGGAGCGTACTGAGCAAACAGGACTGCATGGCTACAAATGCACTCAGGACAGACGTCTGAGGATTGTCAAAACATTCTTGGTGTCATTTGTGTAGTTATTGTGAGGAAGGCAGAACACTCAAGAAACTTAAAACTCCAGATCATGCACAGACTCACCAGAATCCTCAAAACCACATCTTAACCATGTGAAGGGCAAAATCAGCAATTGACCTCCTTTCCCACGAATCCCTCCCTTCTCGTAACAAATTTTACCCTTTACAGATTATACAACATTTAAATGGGTTTCTCTTCTCAATTTGCACTTAATCTACTCAGACAAATGAATCAGAAAAGTAACTTGGCCTTAAAGTCAACTTGGAAAGCTACTGCATGCACAGGAAATAGGCCACCCCTCAAATGATGCATCATTTCTTAGCAGACAAACAGTTCCTTTTACAACAATTCGAGGAAAACAAGAGAATTGTGCTTCAAAATGCCTATAGCTATAGCATGTGCGAGGCTCCACAGCTGGCTAGTAGACTTAAGCAATTACGACGGGCACGTAAAGTTGTCATGAGAAAACCTCGATAGACCCCTTTCTTCATATTCCTCCTTCCACTTCTACTTTTCCAACTCCCACGCACTTCTCCATGTGCCCTCTACTGTTAGTGCTACTGATACGCATACTCACCAACACACGCCCCCACATGCACGTATTCACGTTGTCCCCTGACTCCGCTTCTCCATACTCCTCCAGTAAGGCAGCATTAAAAGGCCCAGTTAAGAAATGGGTGCTTTCTGCTATCATTTGGCCCTTTATAATTTTTTTTTCAGGGAAATAGACAACCTTATGGGGAAAGGCAAATGGATGAACTAAGATCCATTTCCTTAGAACCTCTTCTAGGATATATGCAAAGGGGATACAATCCCAAACCCTGTGCAGAAGGTGGGGATGGAGGTAGGATTTAGTTTCCTGGAAGGAATAGGCAGGTGCAGTGACTCAGGTGGCAGTTGGTCAGGGAGAAAAACGACACTGCCAGCTGGTGGGAATTAGACACTAGAACACAGCCTTGTGACAGTTTTTCTCTTTCAAAGTTGCTCTGAAGTTTAAAATTGTGGAGTGATTGGGGACGGTAGTTGTGGCAATGGATGGAGAATACAAAATGGAACTTACTTTGGGCTCCATGATCTGTAGGGACGATCTAAAGATGTTGCTCAGGGCTGACAAGCAGAAAGCACTGTAGTTCCAAGACAAAGGGAGGCAGAGGTCCTGAGTGTGGCTGTGGTCCTGTTGAGGAATCCCTCTGCATGGATCTTAAAGGAAATGGAAGAAACTGGTCCAATAAGACATAAATGTCCCATTTTAGGAAAAAACAAAGAGGTAACCAGTCCCCCCATGGGTTTTTAGAGCTAAATATAAAACATGTATCCTTTCTTAAAAAGAATCGTTGAAACTAAGAATGATTTCCAGATAAACAATATATTATCCTTGAACTCTAATAATTCATAGATACCATCAATTTTAGTTCAGTCTTTGGACAGTTCATAACATTGCTTCGAATCTACAGTCCCAATTGGAATCAGGTAGTGTGAAAATAATGAATCAAAGTGTACAAAATGTTAAAAGAATATGGGTGTGTACTGTAGACAAAAATTAGTGACTTGACATACATTTCTGACCAAGTAGGAGTAACAGGGACCAGACTTGTTTTTATGTATGAAACACTTAAAAATCCAAATAAAATGTGTGAAACAACAGTTTCAAGACACCAAACATCAAGAAATAAAGGACAATGGTGCCCAACAGACAGAAAAAAAAATGAAGTGAGCCCTTTTCATGGCCGTAGTTTGCTGCCTTGAGAGAGTTTCCAGTTGCAGTTCAGGAAAGGGAAACCTATACAGAATCTAGTTACCACCTTGAGTTGAAGAGAGGATTCTTAATGCTCAGGAAAGCCAAGGCAGCTAGATTTCATGGGACACAGTCTTAGAGAGGATAGTGCTTCACAGAGCGAGAATGCCCAAGATCTGTGGAGCCTCTCTCCACCCTTTCCCTAGGTCTTCTGAGTACTGGTCAACGCATGTGCTGGAAGAGACTGTCAGAGGCCGGGCAAAGAACCAGCTGAAAGGACTAGGAGAAACAATACTAGGAGCTTAAACAAGAAATAGTCTGTTCCCTCAGTCAGAGAGGAAGACCTTATAATTCATGGATTATCAAGTAGAGTACTCAGAGGGGTTAGCCTCAGTAGGTGGGCAAAATTAACCCTAGACTAAATGCTGCTATAGTTCTACCTCACAGAGCTTGGTTAAAGAATCTGAATGGGCTGCGTTTCACAATCCAGCATGAACTTGGTAGTGACCGGAATTTGGATTGAATTGGAAGACATTGTCTGGGTAGCTATCATCGCCAATGTTAGTCTCTCCAGTGCCACCGTAGTAGGAATTGTTGCCTATGTCGGTTATTGGGTGGTGCCTTCCAAAGCAAGCTTCCATTTATGGCTACTTGTCTCCTTTTGTGATGACAGGATACAAATGGTACCACCTAAAGCACGACTTTGATGAAGACCTCCATCTTTGGCAGTGTCCATTTTTCCTGCTTAAGCCTGTTACCCTCTTGAGAGAATTCCAGGACTTTTCCGCTGGCACTCAGGTTAACGCTGTCTTGACAGGGATCCACGCTGGGAATTTTCATCTTGTTTCTATTGTTACCTAAAGGATGAGAATCAGGGATAAATGGAAATTGAGAAACGGATTTGCCAAAAGATAGAAATAGCTTACATTCTCCAATCAGAGGACATTTATGATGGACATACTATGTACTGGGCACTGTTCTTGGTGCTTTCAGATAGGTTCCAGGGAACAGTGCCCTTAAATTAGGGAAGTGATTCAATTACTATTTTCCAAACTGTTCCCCAAAAAAAAGACTTTACAGAGGAGGTATGAGTCCAATTTAATTGTTTACTTACAGATAATTGTTCTAGTGTTTATTGAAATGTCTACTTTTTTTGCTGATCTTCTATACCAACCTGGTCATAAATCAAGTCTTCATGTGTGTGCAGGTCTGGATCTGGACTCTACTCTGCTTCACTGGTCTATTTATCTATCCTTGTACTAATGCCATGCTATCTTAAATAATTAGGTTGATAATTAGTCAGTATCTGGCAAGGTAATATAAAATCAGTCAGAATCGGCTATGCTAACAAATCTTCCCACAGAATTATCAGTGGCTTAACACTAATTTATTTCTCATTCATGCTTTGTGTGTATTATGGGTGGACTGGAAGTTTTGTCATGCCTAGTCATCTGGATGTAGGCCCCTGGAACAAGCAGTATCTGAAACACTGTCATTTGCCATGATAGGGAAAAAGAGACAGTATTGCATATCATATACTGGGTCTGAAAATTTCACCCAGAAGTAACCACTTCTGCTCATTTTTCTTTGGCAAAAGCACATGGTATTACCAAATACAAGGTATCAAGCACAAGCTTGCCTGGAAAGAAAATAGAAAATACTTGGCAATCATATTAATGGTTACTATGATCTGTACCTTTATTTCTTTTTTTAGAAATAGTTGGCTAATGTTAGTCCTTTCATTCAACTACATTTTAGAATCAGTTGGACATATTAAACAACCAACAAACCAAAATTGAGAACGCAAACCCAAAACTCCCATTGTGAAATTTTAATTGAGATGGTATTGACGTTACAGGTGAATTTGGGGAGAATGGACATCTTTATTATGGAGTCCTCCAAAACATGAACATGACATATTTCTCCAATTATTTAGTTCTACCTTAATATAGTTCAATGAATTTTATAATTTTCTCCCTAACAGAATCTTACACATCTTATTGTAAAATTTATGTTTAGACATTTTATATTATTTGATGCTAATGTAAAGGGTATCTTTTTGGTTGTACTTTCTAAGTATTTGTATAGAAATACTTCTCACTATATTTATTGATCCCTTTTCTTGAGCAATCTTGCTAAACTCTTTTAAATTCTGATTATTTTTGTAGGTTCTTTTGAATTTTCTACATGGGTAATCATATTTACCTACAAATAAAACGTTTTCTTTCTTCCTTTTCATTTCTTATACTTTCCCCACCCCCACCTTTCTTTAGTGGCTAGTACATCAAGGCACTATTGAATAAAAAGTAGTTCCAGTGAGTACCCTTATCTTTCTTATTCTTTATCTTAAAGGGAACATTTTTAGTATTTCATGTTATAGCATTACTTTTTTTGTGTATTTTAAAAATCAGGTTAAAGATGCCCTCTTTAGTTTTTAACATAAATGGATTTTGGATTTTATATGACTCTTTTTCTACATCTAGAGATGATGATAATTTTTCCCCTTTAATTTGTTAACGTGGTGAATTATACATTAGTTGATATGTAATGACAACCAATATTGCATATCTGGCATAAATTCAAATTTATCATCATGTATTCTTCTTTAATTCAGTAATATAGTTTGTTAATATTTTGCTTAAATTATTTTCACCTATGATCATGCGTGAAATTGGCCTGTGATTTTTTTTTCCCCATTCTGTCTTTAATCAGATTTTAGAGTCAAGATTATACCAGTCTTGTACAATGAGCTGAGAATTAAACGCTCTTTTATACTCTGGAATAATTTTGTAAAATTGAAATTATTTGTTTATGCAAAGTTTGGTAGAACTTGCTTGTAAAAGTATCTGGGCCAAAGAATTGGGGAGGAAAGGGCATTTCAAAGTAGTGATTCAATTTATTTAATGTTTCTAGAGTTATTAAAACATTCAGTTTATTCATCAGCTAACTCAGGTGATTTACATTTTTCTAGAGATTGGTCCATTTATTCAAGGTTCCAAATTATTGGTGTAAAGTTTTTCATAAGTACTTTTATTAGTATTTTCAAAGAACCAACTCTTGGCTTTGTTATTCTATTAAATACTTGTTTTTTATTTCACTGATTTGTATTCATATTTCTTATTTATTTCCTAATTCTTTCTTTGGGTTTATTCTCCTATTCTTTTTACCTCTGTAATTAGTTCATTAACTATTTTGCCTCTTAGTTTTAGCATTTTGATCTTTAAATTTGCCTCTAAGGAATTGCTTATCTTCATTCTGCAAGTCTTGATATAGATGTGGTTTTTGTTTTTTGTAGGTTTTTTTTAAATTTTTCAGTTGTAGTAATGTTTTAATTTCAATTATAATTTCTTCTGTGATTAACGGGTTATGTAGTAGTCATTTTTTCATTTCATTAAGTCATGTCTTATTTTCCAAACTTATGAGAGTTTTTAAAAAGTTATTTTTGCCTTTGCGGTCACTACATATAGTATCAAATTTGTTGAGCCTTTTTTCTCATTCCATTATTTTTTTGGGGGGGTGTTTTATTGTCATACACTCATCTTCTATTCTTTAAGGCTACTTTAGAGAATTTAACATTCATATTTAACTTAGCAAAGCCTAAATTAGCAGTATCTTTACTCTTCTAGGGCAATGCAAGAACCTCAGAACACTAATTCTGGTAAGTTCTCTTTTTATTTCTATATTACTCTAGCCAAGCATCTTCTTTCCATCTTGTTATTATTATTGTTTTATTTAGTCCATGTTTGTCTAAAATGATTACCACTTTCTTTGCTCTTAATTTTTGTGGAGCTACCAGGTTGAGGTAATCAATTATGACAAACTGGAAGTAGCAATCAAGTCTTTCCCATTTACTGAGATAGTGTAAGCAAGAGGCACAAATAGGCACCAGCTCCCCAATGTTCCGTTCTTCCCCACGGAACCGCTCAGGGCAAGGGTCAGACAATCAGGCAGATGGAGGGGCAGCATCTCACCACCACGGGCTCTGAACAAAAGACCACTGACGTTTTATGGACCTGGGAGAGAGAGAGAGAGAGAGAGAGAGAGAGAGAGAGAGCGAGCTAGAAGTAGAAAAGAACTGAGTCAGAATGGACCAAACTGTCTTAGTGAAGACCCTCAATAGGGAGGCCTCTGAATGGAGGTGTAAGGGCTACTAATGCAGATACATGCATGAGTCTAGCTGGCCCAGAGGGCCTGCGTCCTTGACTGCAACTGCCTCTGGAAAACTATACTTTACTAGCTGTGCTGCATGAGAGAGGACAGCTTTCCCTCATGAGGCCTGCCAGGCAAAGCCTTTGTAATTGCCTGTAGCTGGGCCTGAAAGATCACACACAGATTTTTGCCTAAAACCAGACTCTTCATTTCTTCTTGTCTGTTAGTCTTCATTCTAGGATCATTTGATTTTGTCAGGGGTACACATTTACAGAGTTCCCTTAGTGAAGGTCTGCTAGTACTAAATTCAGTTTTTGTTTTTCTGAAAATAATCCTTATTTTTTTCTTGTTCTTGAAAGACATTTTTGCTGAGTATAGAATTTTTAGGTTGATAATTGTCTTACCAAGTTAAAGCTACCATTCCAGTGTCTTCTGGCTTGCACTGTTGCTGTTATTTAGAGTTAGCTGTTATTAATTGTTGCTCCTCTTTAAGAAAATCCATCGGATTCACTGATTCTTTCCTCAACCTTTTCCACTCTGCTGATAAGCCAACAAGGAAGTTCTTCATCTCTGATGTTGTGTTTTTTATTTTAGGATTTGCATTTGATTCTAAAGTTTTCATTTCTCTATTAAAAATCTCTTGTCATGTCTACTTTTCCCACTAGGTCTTTTAATGTATTAATCATAATTATGTTAAAGTCCCACTCTGATAGTTCCAACATCTAGGTTATCTCTAAGTCTAGTTCTCTTATTTGCATTAATTCTTGACAATGAGTTTATTTTTTATTTATTTATTGCATTTTTTGGTGTATCTTATAATCTCTTATTGAATACTGTACACTGAGTGCAGAAGAATAGTTGATTGTCCCCAGAGTGGATGGAGATCAATATTTTTGCTCTAAAGGACCTTGTGAATATTATTTAGTCTCTCTAAGCCTCAATACTATTATTAGCAAAATGTAAATAAGCCCCAACTTCATAAAAATATTGTGTAAAGTATATAAAACATAAATATAAAATAGTATTATCATTTATCTGCTGATAGACCCTAGTATGTACTCATGCTTAACATGGCAATGGGATTATACATACTTGATTTTTTTTCCCCTAAATGCTGACATCCTTTTAATTGAAAATTCCAACTTAGTTTAAGTATCCTAATAAAAGTACAAATTACAAAGCCAAATGTCTTCGTACATTCAACTAAGACCATCCTACAATTGTGCATTCCTCTACTCCTTCAATAAATAACATAAAACAAAAATTAGTGTCACTGTATTTGATGTAATGTTCATAAATACACACACAAAAATTGGAGATCTTCCAAAGATTTACCCAGTATTTACTTTCAAAATAGAAACAATATTTTTTATAGGTGGTACAAAGAAATACCCCCACTATGATTCCTACTATATGTTGACTCTATGTGGGGATTGGAATCATTCCTTATTCTACAAACAGAGAATTTGGAAACTATCAAGAAAGATAATAATAGTGTAAAAAAGTGTGTGCTTTGAAAATGAATCAGATGAAATTTTTAGGTGAAGAAGGGTTTCCTGAAGCTGAAGACCCAGGATTTCTGGCCAGAAAGGGCAAAAGTCTTTCTTTTGCTAAGATCTGGGCAACATTTCTTCCATGTCTGCAATGACGTAAGAGACAACAGCCCAAACAGCAGCAGCAACATTCATCTGCTTTGGATCCATGACAG